ATATGGATGAAATCTTTACCTTTCTTGTTCATTTGTATCCTTAAATTTTTTTTTGTTGGAAGCATAATTAATTTTTTAATTTTGTAATATGTCCTTAGTTGATTTGCCATATTTTTCAGTATAAAGATCAGTGCTATTAGCAAATGGGATTTATTTCTATGATTGATATCTAGTTTTTTAATCTATGAAGTTTTCTGGAATATTCTTAGGAATTGATCAGTTTCGTCTGACTATAGGTGGGATAAGCAATCCCCTATGGGCCCGTTTTGGTGAAGGCCAAAAAAATTATTATATATTATAATAATAAATAATAAAGCAAATTTCTCAGGAAAAAAGTTTTACAATCTTACACTTTATGATATGATTTCAATCGCTAGAAAGTGTTAAAACAATAAGATTTCAATCGCTAGAAATAAAAATCGCTTTAAAACATAGTGGAAACATGTGATGACGCTAAAACATTTAGAGAAGCTAAAAGTTTATCTTCTGAATTATGAAATTTGAGTTCTTGTTCGACATGATTATTTGAAACAATATGTCGTCAACTATTAATAGAATAAGAAAAATATTACAAAATGACGATATGTCTATTAGTGTTACCGTTAGTAACTTGAAAGCTCTTATTTCATTTTTTGAAACATATAGAGAATTTAAATTTGAATATGACAAGATTATTCCTAAAGAAATTATTGCTCTAGTAGTAGTTGAACCTACATTTCATGTATTATCCATAGAGAGAAGCATTTTGATCAAAATGTTAATGATGAGATAAAATATTATACTGAAGAATCTTTTAGAGTTTATTATTTATTGATTAATCTCTTTCTTCACATAGGTTGAGGTTTAATTTTTTTTAAAATATGAAAATATTTTTAAGTTTTATTTGATTTAAAAAATTGCAAATTACAGATGATAATTGTTTGAAGCGTTGATGTGATAAATTTGAAAAAAAAAAAATTAAGCATGACAAGAATTCTGATATTGATAAGCACAAGTTTTTTTGCTAAGCTGCAAATTGTTAAAAAAAAATTGTCAAAAGATACTAAAAAAGTGATTGAAGTTTTAGACTATATAAAAAATGACGATTGCTTTTCGGATGTGTGGATTACTTATAGAATTTTATAGATATATCAATTACAGTTGTATCTATCAAGAAGACGTTTTCAAAGTTGAAGTCGTTAAAATCCTATTTTTGGTCATCAATATCATAAAAAAGGGTTGAATAAATTGATCATGGCATCTATTGTAAAAGAAGTGCTAAAACAAATTGATTGTAATCATATAGTTGTTGATTTTTATCAAAAAATTCTAGAAAAATAAATTTAGCTTTTGTTTGATGCCCATTATCGAGAGAAAATGAGTTTTATAGTAGTGAATTTTTTTGAGAATATATGATTAGAATGTAGAAAAAATTGAGTTTTTGTGTAAAATATTTTATTTTAAAAATACATGGTAGAAAATGAGTTTTAAAATAATAGGAATCAAATGGAGGCTTAATCTAGACATTTGAAAGTTTTAGATTATTATTATTATTATTATTATTATTATTATTGTAAATTTGAATGTTTTTATTTAATAAGAATTATTCTTATTTTGCGTATAGCGGTATAGGCCTCGTATTTAAAATTGGTCTAAGCCATCTTAGAGTAGGCCCTGGAATGGATCATATAGAAATCAATGCTATTGCGTAGGTCAATGGTGATTGCCCTTCAAGTAAAATATTTAGAAAAATAGAAAATAAAAAAACTTGAACTGAATATAAACATAAGAAATTAGAATCATACTCCAGTGCTAGAGAGGTTGATTTAAAATATAGTTAATTTTTCCATCTAATCATATCTTGTCCATACCCATTATGTCAAGGCATTTGTCAATATCTTTCTAGCAAGGATTTTGCTACTTTGCCAGAAGAAATTTAACAGATGTAATGACATAATTCGAAGTGGTAGAAGATGATTTGATCGAAAAGCTGACCGTGTTTAAAATAGTCACATGATGAAATGTCATGTGACATTATGTTAAGAATTATGTCACTGTAACATAATTTTTCTGGCAAAGTGGTTTTACCCAAGAAATTAGGAACTAACGGTTTTCTTCACCAACAACGTTGGGGGTTCTATAGGGGATCGTGACTTTTTGTACTGGTTAGTGTTCGAAATACATTTATGATACGTTTGATTGTCAATATTTTTCTTGAAAAATGTGTTTTTCCACCTAATTTCTTACTTTTGTGCTGTTTGATTGGCAATTTTTTTCACGGGAAATATTTTCCTTCTTTTGGTCATACGATCGTATTTTTCTTGAAAACAAGGAAAATATTTTTCTTAAGGAGACGTGGTTTTTATTTTTTAAGTAATTCGCTCTCTATCTCTCTACCCCTTCTCTCTCATCTATCCATCAATAAAAAATGGACAAGTATAATATTTTTTAAGTTGAAAACTAAATCAATCGAACACATTTATTTTCTTTCTATACAAATTCTATGCTCTAATCAAACGCACCCTTAGTTTATTCGATTCAAGTCTGAAGTAGTTTCTATTTAAACAAGCTTTAGTTTATATGTTATCATTTGGTAAAATATATTTGTGATTCATGGTTTTTGGAACAATAACAATAGGAAGTTCAAATGGGCTCGATCATTGTTGACTTCTCAAAATTTATTTAGATAGAATATTGAACCTTTGGCTTTATTTAAACCAGATTATCTAGTAGAATCTTAACTGCTTTCTGTCAATTTTGAGCAAAACTCTTCTTTCTTCTACTTGTTTTGATGTGAACTTCACCTTGTTTGATAAACTGACTTCTTAAAATTTTCTCGAATTGCTTTCCAAGTAGTGTGCTAAAGCTTATTCAATTGTTACAGAACTTTTTCAGCATTTTCTGTGTTGATCTGCCAAGAGAGAAGCTAGGGAATGTTGTAGATCTTGCTATGATGTTTGCAAGGTATAGGCCACAACTCTCTTACTCCTTATTCGAGACTGCGCAAAGGGCCAACAAATTTAATATGCCAATTATGTCGGCACATGACCTATATGACGATGGTTGAGTCGCATTAACTATTCAATACTCGATTGTCAATTACTATTGGAGTAAAGGAAAAAAGGTTTAATATTTTTTTCTTAGGTTTTGTAGATTTGATATGGATCAAAAAGCTAGTGTATTGATGCAAAGATATGAATTAGGGAGGTTATTAGGCCAAGGCACATTCGCCAAGGTTTACTATGCTAGGAATATAATTACGGGGCAAAGTGTGGCCATTAAAGTAATCGACAAGGGGAGGGTTTTGAGGTTCGGGCTCATTGAACAGATCAAGAGGGAAATATCTGTTATGAGATTGGTCCGTCATCCTAATATCGTGCAGCTTTATGAAGTCATGGCTACGAAAACCAAGATTTATTTCGTAATGGAATATGCTAAAGGGGGTGATCTTTCCGACAAGGTAGCCAAGGGTGAGCTAAAGGAGGATGTTGCACGAAAGTATTTCCAGCAGTTAATAAATGCTGTTGATTTCTGCCATAGCAGGGGTGTCTACCATCGGGATTTGAAACCTGAAAATCTACTGTTAGATGAGAATGAAGATATGAAAATTTCTGATTTTGGTTTAAGTGCACTTGCTGAATCAAAGCGTCAAGATGGACTCCTTCACACCACTTGCGGGACTCCTGCCTATGCTGCTCCTGAAGTGATTAACAGGAAAAGCTATGATGGGGCCAAAGCCGATATCTGGTCATGTGGGGTGATCCTGTTCGTTATGTTGGCTGGTTATCTTCCGTTTCATGATTCAAATTTGATGGAAATGTATGGGAAGATTGGCAAAGCAGAATTCAGATGCCCGAATTGGTTTCCACGAGAGGTACGAAGGCTACTTTACCGAATATTAGATCCAAATCCAAACACTAGGATTTCAATTGCAGGAATTAAGGAGAATTCTTGGTTCACACGGGGATTCAACTCTAAATCTACAAAACATGATGCAGAAAGCAGTGCAGCTGGTACATCTAGTAGATCTGTGGCTTCTGGTCCATTGGAAAGCAGTAGCGCAATGGCCGAGGATGATCAAGAATTTAACAGGCTTTCAAAATTGAATGTATTTGATATCATTTCCTTGTGGGCTGGATTTGAACTGTCCAGATTGTTCAAAGAACTTTGTCTAAAGAAAGAAACTAGATTCTTTTGCTCGAAACCAGCTTCTACCATCATCAGCAAGCTCGAAGAACTTGCCAAGTGTTTGAAGTTGAAGGTAAGTAAAAAGGACAGAGGGTTGATCAAATTTGATGGGACCAAGGAAGGTAGGAAGGGGATTTTGTCCATCGATGCAGAGATATTTAAGATCACTCCATGTTTTCACTTGGTTGAAGTGAAGAAATCAAATGGAGATACTCTGGAATATAAGAAGGTATTAGACGACGGTATAAAACCAGGACTTCAAGACATTGTTTGGGGTTGGCAATGTGATCGACCACCACAGGCACCGCGCGAGCAACCATATGAGCATCGGCAACAGCCACTTCCACAGGACCGGTAATCTTAACATCAGGTGCAGCAGCAAGATCTATTACAATAATTGCTGCTGCAGGAACAATAACCTTGATATCAGTCTATACTATTTTTTTGTTGATTAGCATCAGAATCTTCCTCCCGCATGTATTTGTAACAAATCCCACTTAAATAATGTGTTTAATGGTATCGTGTTTTTTCATTTCATGAATGTATATATTCTAAGACACTGCGTTAGGATGGCTAAGTGTTTCAGTAAGAAATGCATAAATTAGCTGTCCGTTCTCATGTTGGCACCAAGGAAGCTTGAACCATGACCTATGCCATATAAGATCGTACCTAAAATTGTACACTGTTCTATTTGTAAACATTTTGAGCTGTGATTGGATGTACATTACTTTATGCCTTGAACTAGTAAGGTTTTTCTCCTCACTTTTTTGTTGATGGTAACAGCATCACAATTGCTTGTAACATTGTACAAATATTTCGAAAAAACTTGGAAATTAAAGACATATAGGAGACTCTGTTAAATCAATTATTTCAGGGTATACATTTGGTAATCTCTTCTTTCTGCCCGAACTGGCCATATAGCAAGGTGAAGGTGTAAAAACATCTATAACCTCAACTTCATAATTAACTCTAGGACTCTTCATCAAGATTGAATCTTTGTCAGCAACTAAGGCAGTTGTTGATTGCTTCTCGACTGGATAATCCACCAACTCTGTAGTGACTTCTTCTATCAATCTCGACATGTGCCCATCTTCAATGCCACTAACAATATTATACGAGCTGGTAGCAACAGATGAAGAGGATGTTCCAATTGGGAAGTTTCTCTGCTGTCCCATCCAAATATTTTCTAAACAATTACTACGTTCATACCAGGTTCCTTCTATCTGATTGATCTGTTTTAGTCTCTTTTCTGGAATAGTACCTTGATCGCTTGGAAATTGGTGATTTGATGCTGCTCCCATTGATGATTCTTGATCGCTTGGAGATCGGTGAATTGTTGCTGCTCCCATTAATGATTCTTGGTTTTTGCCTCTCATAGAACATTCTTCATCTCTGTCCCACTCTTCATTTTCACTTGAATTCTGATTGCTCCCTGTGTAACAGGGCAACTCATCCATGGAACAAACTTGGACCCTCATTTGCACGGGCAAGTTTGGACAACCAGCAGTATACATTTTGTATTTTGTTGAGAAGAAATTTACAGTGAGGTTCAAGCTGAAATTACAGAAGAAACCAAAACAAAGGTAAAACCACTGAAACTTATCTCGGTTAATACAACCCATGATCCTCTCACATGTAGAAACATAAAATCATAAATCATACCTATTCCAGGCAGGAAGTGTAAGCATAGTGTATGCCAATTTAATTTTATTGGCAATTCCAGAAAGGGATTTAAAAGTCGTAGCCACCATTCTAACTGCTAGAGATTGTACTGGGTGTTGCCATGCCCACTCAAACTGCAAGGTTAAATCAACAGACAATTCCACATTACAAGGGGTTGTATCCTCAATAAGCAGAAAGATAAATTTCCAACTTTGTGACCCCTTCATATGTATTTGCACGCTGTATCAGTCTTTCATTTTAAAAGCTTAAGCTCTTAGATACGAACACATTTATTCATTTAAATTTAATCTTTAAAGTGCCTTTTACATATTTATTTTTTCAAAGACTAACTACAGCATAATTTTCATGATGGCTGCTATGTAACTTTAATGTTACTACCTGAGTTGGCATTTAATCTTAACACTTACAATTATATTCAACTTAAATTCAAGAATTATCCCATATAGTCTACTAGAAGAAAATATGAAAAGAACTTTAAAAATGAATAAAAGACTTGATTATAACATTATTGACTGATGACCATAGGTCATGAGCACTTAGCACACATTTATTCTTATTTATAATAAAATAAGCTCAACAACTCTTTATAACTAGTGTTTATCCAAAAAATAGATAACAACTATCAAATAACAAATTAACAACTTTGTATTTATCCTTTGATTTGAATTTGACAATCTTATCACTCCAAAACTTTCCTAGCCTCCTTATCGCTTATTCGATCCTCATCATTTCTATTGCTAAGTTGTATGACGTTTCTAACATCCTTCCGCAAACTATGCTGGGCTGAAGGCACAGTTTGATTCGAAAAATTGAGCAATGATTTTTATCTTCATTCTTGTGAAGATATATGTCATATGTGTATATAAGCATTTCAAGTGCTTCTCATACTGCATGGGTTGCGTCTAAGCCTATTGTGATGATCCAACCATGAATGAGAGAGGACTTTCACCATGCAATGAGTTCATTTGTTAATTTTGGTGGAATTTCCTTTTTTATTTTGTAATTGTTCGGATTTGATGTGATGTATTTAGTGGGGACAAGGTCTTCATTGGTGAAATGATCAATTTATTTTTGAACTCATTTGTCAATTTTGGTATGAAATTTTCTGTTTCTGTTTTGTTTGAATTTGGTGGGATGTATTTGATGGACGAAAATTAATGAAAGATGAGTGTAAAGAAGTTGTCAATATTTACAAATAGCAAAGTGATAGTGGAAGAGAAAACTTGTGGCGTGCCGCGTGCTCACGATGACTCTAATACCAAAAAGAAAATATGAAAAGAACGTTAAAAATGAGTAAATGACTTGATTATGACATTATTGACTGATGACCATATGTCATGAGCACCTAGTACATATTTATTCTTATTCATAATAAAATTTTTTTTTTTTTTGATAACCGTGGATGTCCGGGCCAGCTTGCGCGCACCTCGACTAGTTCCACGGGGCCCTGAAGTTTACGGCCGGATACTCACCTCAGTGGCCCTGAGGGGACTCGAACTGGTGACCATTGGGGAGCAAACCCAAGGCCTGACCAATTGAGCAACCCCTCAGGGTTCATAATAAAATAAGATCAACAACTCTCAATAGTTAGTGTTTATCCAAAAAATAGATAACAACTATCAAATAACAAATTAACAACTTTGTATTTATCGTTTGGTTTGAATTTGACAATTTTATTACTTCGAGATATTCTGACCTCCTTATCGCTCATTTGATCCTCTTCATTTCTATTGCCAAGTTGTATGACGTTTATAACACTACTCTCAAGAATCCCAACACCTTTATCAAGAGATCAGCTGAAATATATGTTACATAATTCACGACAGGAAGCTAAATATATAACCTGCTTATTGAGGGGGGAAAAAAAGATGAAGGAAAAACATAGAATAACGAAGAAACTAAGTAATAACCTGAAGAGCAGCGACGTTAGTAGGGAAGCCATAGATGCAAAAAACCATTTCCCAGGGACGCTTCTTCTTGGTCGTCCATGCGCCACTCCTCATTTCACCATTGTGCTGCCTTATTCTGCGCCGCGGATTCACCGTGTATCTGCCAAATCCACCAAATATTTACTTATTATTTCTTGGGTAAAATTCACTATAATAACAATTATAAAGAATAATCATAATCACAATTAAAAATTCACCCGATGTACGTGTGGCCTTTGAAACGGGGGCAGAGTGATGTAAGCAGATAGCACGCGAAGAATCTTGAACCTTCTTTGTCTTCTTCTTCCTCTTCCCCTCCCTCGTCTTGCTGGTCTGCAATTGATCTTTCATCTTCACTAATTTCTTCTCCTGAAATTAGGGTTTTTTGGATATCCTTTCGCTCCTTCCTTTTCCCCATCTCTCTCTCTACGATTCAATTCACCCTAATAAGCAACACAATGGCCGCTGCAAATGTTCGATCGTCTCTCTTCCTTTAAAGCACACAAATATGACCGTTGCAATTGTTGGATAATTTCCTTTTATTTTTTAGGTACAATTTTTTCTGAAACAATAATATCACTGTTTATAAATTGTTTAAATTTCAAATAATAAAAATAAGGCTTATTAGCACAAAACGTCCCTACGTTTGATAGTTAGTGTGCAAAACGTCCCAACGTTTCATTTTTTTGCATTTTTGCCCCTATTTCAACGTTACAGTGTGGAAAACATCCTTTTCGCTATTTTTTAGTGTAAAATGACCATTATACCCTCAAATTTAAATAAAACAAATAAAATGAAAAGAAATATAAAAAATAAATTGTAATTATACTCCCAAACTTTTTAAAAAGTGCAAGTGAGTCCAAAAGCCTTATTAAAAGGGTTAAGCACAAAACGTCCCTACGTTTGACACTTAATGCGGAAAACGTCCCTATGTTTCAAACATGTTTATATTTGCTCAATA